CCCACCCCCAAGAAAGAATACACCATTTCAATTTCAGTTACCCTCGTGGATAAGTCTTCTGGGCTGCATGCCTTTCAGTTGCTACCCCTTTGGTGGTGAGAGTTGATGGCTTTGTTAATTTAGTTTTAAATATGGTTTTTAACTGGAATAGATTTTGTTTCATCTATATGAGACTTAGAAAACAAATGAGAAAAAATTCATTTTTAAAAAATGAAAGACACTCTTTACACTGTTAAAATATTGCTGCTTATAATAATCATAGATATTAGGCCTCAAAAAGCTAAAAGGCTAGTATTGAGAAATGCCTATCAAGATTGAAAACGTAAGTCCCCATTTTGCTTGTTAATTGCCAAGGACAAAAGAAGGTGGTGGAGTGTGTCTTCAGTGCAAATGGAGTCAAAATAGAACTATAAAGGACTATAAAGAGTCTCACTGGAAATACTCCTGTCTGGCCAGCTGAACCAACTTTAAGAAATGGCTCTGGAGTAGCACAGTTAGATCTGCTGGGTCACTGACACCACCCAGGGAGTCTCCAGGTTTGGTCAGCAAGGGTGTCCTTTCCATAGCGTGTGACAACGCTGTTGTGCCACAGGATGGGCTGACTCGCAGTCTCCAGGCCACTAACTGTGTCCAGAGGGATGAAGACGTCCGCGGCTGGGTTCCCTTGATGGTCAGAGCGCCTGGAAGTTGGCATTCCCATCCCTCTTCCAGGATGGGAAGATTCAGCCGCATTCTTTCCAAACTGATGCTTAAAAATGTAAATACTAGAAATTTCAAAAGCAGTTACTGATATGTGTGTGCTAGAACTCATGTCTCATGCTTTAACTAACAGCGTTAGATTGATTCTCAGAACAGTACAGTAAGCGAGATGCCACGTTCCCCAGTTAATGTAGGAATTGGGCCTTGCTCAAGGGTCCATTGCTAGCGAGTGGCCACCCTGGCTGGGATTTGAGTCCAGGCTGGTTTGATTTGGGTGAGCACTGATGCCCTCCCCGCCACCCCTCCCGCATCCCACATTCAGTCCATCGGGAAGCCCTGCCAGCTCCACACCGGGATCTGAGCCCTTGGGCCACCACGGGGCCTCACCCAGGACAGTCCAGCACCTCCTGTCTGGCCTCCCCTCTCCTGCTTATCGTGGCAAAGTCGAGTCATTTTGCTCCTGTGCTCAAAACTCACCCTGGGGCTTCTCATCGTCCGAGTAAAACCATCAGTTGCTTCCGCTGCAGGTGCCCTTTGCCCAGGTTTAGGTTTCTTCCCTTTGATTACTCCTTGCCAGTATGACAGACGCATTTTATTATTTTTTTGTGGGCGAGGTCCCCCTACTGAAATATGAGCTCTGTACCGTTAGGAACTCTGAGTATTGTTGTACAGCTTTATTCCCAGTGCCTAAACCTTCCCTAGTGTGTACTCAGGAGATAATTTATTGCTAAATGAATGCATTTTGTGTCATTGCACCATTTTCCCTTTTGTTCTTGACTGAACACATGTAAATGTCACGTGCTTGCAGGAACATTTGTAACTCATTAGCCAGAATTTATCAAGAATTTTCTTAGTTCAGAGCAGAGTATTTTGAATGCCTTTATTTTGGGCTTAGTGCTTAATCTTACATGTATTATTTATTGTCAAGGGGCCTTTTTTTTTCTCCCTGACATACAGGAGAGATCTCTGTACATCAGAACAATTCCTGTTGTCCTGATATTTTCTACCCACGAGATGATCAAGGGGTCTTTCACAGAAAAGTTTTTTCATGGTCTGCAAGTAAGAGTATTCCAAACTCCGAAACTATTGTATGTGTGTATACTTGCTCAGATTTTCTGGAGGACTTCAGCTCCTGAAATGGTCTGTGAATTCACAGATTAAAGTCTCCCGCTGTGCTTCACAGAGGAGCCCCGGCCTCTGCGCTAGGAGTACGTGCTGACTGCACTGCTCAAAAAAGGTGGATGAGAACTGTCTCGAGAACTCCAGGTTGTGTGAATAAACTGGAAAGCCTTGTTAGGGAATTTTCTGGTCATTTTTAAATGTAGGAAGGCCTACTTAATACACAGTTACTATATATGAAATATGCTGTACTGTGCAGAGTGCCAAGATTTGGTGTTTGGTTCTCGAATATTTGCTGCGCAGCTTTGGGCATCTTTCTTTCCACTACTTAGTGGCATTCAATTGTAGCCTTTCTGTTCTGAACAGACCCCCTTAGCTGTTTTGTGAAAACAGATACCTAAGCAGTCTAGGCCAGTGAGTGAGAAGAAAAAAGCTACAGAGTTGTCTCCAGGGATTTTTTTTAATAGGCTAAGCAAGGACAAAGCATCAGAGACAGCCTTTCATTTATAGCTTGACCAATTATTTTCAGTTTGGGATTCTATATTGGGAAACCAGAAAATGTGTCTGCATCTGTAGCTGTCAAGGTCAGGCTCCTGAGCAGGCAAATTGGTAATGGCCACTTGTTGAGCTTAAAGAACTTTAGAAATTTGTTCTGTCCAGAATATTTCCGTAGAAGTCCCTGTGTTTTTTGGCCTGATTCCCATAATGTTTTCCTGAGTAAGTAAAGGAGTAATTATTGTTTCTTAGGCTGTTAATTAATAACTTAAAGATATACCTAGATGACTTCTTTGTATAAAAGATATCTCTCCCCTTTTCATAGTTTTTAATATTTTTAAAAAATTTTTGTGGCAAGTAGCTAAATCTATATATTTGTCGTTGTTTAGATAAATGATTTCACTTAAGAATATCTAAAGTTTTGGCTTAAACGCTCATATTACCAACTTCAGGTACATTTAATTTTCTGGATGGTATGTATGGAAAGCGCCCCAGTACTGTTCTCACCTGTTGCTGTCTGTGTGAGGTATTATTTTGCTGGCTCGTTTGGTACATACGCACAGTGCTCTGCCGTGTAGCAGTGCTGTTCCAAGCACTGAGGACATAGTGATGAGTAAGACCACACTGTCATGGAGCGTGTTTTCTAGAATTTGATGCCATTTAGCGATTGGATGTAGTTTCCGTACCACTTTGCCTCTTTGCTACCACGCCATTTCTGCTGTTGGAGGCACCCGGAATTTCTTACAGTTCTGGAAAACCATACTCTTTCACATCTCTTTCTTTGCTTCCGCTGTTGCTGTATTTGTTTACCCAGCAGACTCTTCCTCTGCTTTTTGGACATAGCTCCAAAGCTGCTTCACCTCTGAATCCCTCTCATCCACTAGGCTGTGTGGAAACACATGGTGGAAAGAAGGAAATTCGCTTTCAGAGCACAATTCCTATTTCCTGCTTGGGAAAATAGAACTCCACGGGCCTGTGTGTCTCCTGTCCACAGCCTCCGAGCAGCGGTGCTCCTGCTTGTTGGCACTGCTCAGCTGAGGGATAAGTTAGCGGGCGGCACCATCCAGTGGCTCGGCCAGGCAGTGCAGCCTCTCCTCCAAGATCAAAATGGCCCAGGTTATGCTGCATGCACACGCAGGGTGGAGGACGGGAGGGTGGAAGAAAGGAGCAAAGATTTAGAATGTAATCGAAAGGCATGATTATCAGACCATACTTATCTTGAGAGGCTCAAAACGTTATAATACTTTTAGCAGCCTTCTAGCCTCATATGAGATTGTTTTTTGTCTTTAATCTGGGGTTTTGTAAGCTATAAACCTGAGGACTAGTGATGCAGTTAGCTTCTGTTCCTTTATTATTTGAGATCAGAATATATGTACATACTCTGTTTTGTCCTGTTTGCTTCTCAGCTTTGTTTGATGAATAAATTTGACCTGCTCATTTCATACTAGTATCACTCTGGAATCTTTCTTTGGCCTGTGCACTCCTATCTTTGCAGCAAAATAAGTAAAATTAAAGATCTTTAACCAAAGGGAATTTTTTTGTTCATAAGCGAGGGATAAATGTATAGTGGCCATCCCAATAAATACATGCATAAAAGCCCAAAGTTATATAATCAAAGTTGGTCCAGGTATTGCATTGCTTTGTGAGGTTAGTTTACTCAGTGTGGGTTTGTAGCTACAGAGATTAAAAGAGGGAAAGACAGGTGACAGTGTTCTGACCCTTGGGTTCTTGGCTCTACGCTGGGCTGGAGTTTCCGCTTACACGTTAGGAGATGGCGGGTTCTAATCCTTAACTCCTCCATTGAAGTGGGGAAATTACAAAATTACCAAAGTGCTCATATGCACAAAAGCACAAAATGGCATGTCCTTCAAGTGTCAGCAGGAAGGAAGCCGACAGTGTGAAGCAGATCTCAGCTTTACTTCTACTTGGAAGCTGTCCATTTGGACCACCATGTGTTGAAACAGACACACAGGGCATCAGCAGTTAGACCTTTTCCTTTCACACTCGTGAGAGGAACAGAGCATGCGCGCCTGCTGGTGCGCGCCCACGCCCACGGCGGCACACGTCACGGGACGCCCTCATATCACACCTTGGAACTTGTGACAGGGTTCCTCAATTGTGTGTTGACTCGAGCCCTGGACATAGCAAGCATAAGGAACTAAGGAAAGAAAGGGATAACCTAAAGCTTAAAAAGTGAAATGTTTATTTTAAAAGCACTAGCGACGCTAGAACAAGCTTAATTAATCATAAATTTTCAAGAAAATTAGTGTCGAAGGTAATATGTCAAAAATCTCATACTTGATGCTTCTGTGGCCGTGATCTACGTGGTCAGGGGAGAGAGAGTGTCCTGTCTTGAATGTTTGCTGTTTGGATTGCAGCTTAAGGTCTTCCCTTGAAAGGCTCCAAAAGGTTCATTTCTACATTTCTGCTTATGTTTAGTATTTTTTTCCTTGTCTCAAATTCTGCCTAACTGATAAAACTAACTCGCCATGATTTGTATGGTGCTGTCCTGAGTGTTAACAAGCTGGCTTTGGATAGCTCCTCCTCTTTTCTTCTCTGACGTAGAAACTTCAGCTTTCATTAGACTGCTTCCTTCCACCGTGACCAGCGATCAATGAAGCTCGCTGTTCATTCTGAATTCATGGCCTTCCTAATCATGCCATGTCTGGGGGGTGTCGTCTTTCTAGAGCGTCCTGCCATACTACGTTGCTACGAAGCTGGCTAAAATCCGAACGCCAACTCTGGATAAGCCCTCTCCAGACACATTTGTGAAGGCCGCACTTAGTACCGTAGGCCTGATGCCTCGCACCTGTGGGTACCTGATCCATTCTCTAATGGTATGTACATTTCGAAGTCCCAAAGCAGTTCCTTCCAGTTTAAGGCTTTCTTCCCATTGAGTCACAAATAATATATGATATATACTGAGCTATATACCTAGTCTAGGCTTACCAAACCTCTGTTTTATTTTAAGCTACACAACAAAGAGCTTTGAAATGTGCCTCTAAATGAAGTAGCAGAATAGTAAAACTTAAAACTAAAGGCTTCAGTTTACCCCGCAGTGAAGACTGCAGCTGTTTATCTTCCCCATTTCTTTCCCTAGGCCATAGTCTCCTCGGCCCTGCCTTCTTGGATTTACTGGAAAATAGTCATGAGTACAAACAAGGCTGTGCGAGCTCGCTTTCTGAAGAAAAACAAGAAGAACTAAGCACTGAATCCTGCATTGAGTAACCTGGCCAGACGCTTCTGCCCTGCAAGGTGCCCCGCCTGTCCCCAGTGCCTATGGCTGTCGTCTCAGTGGTGAACTGCCATGCTCAGCATTATCACATTGGGAGGGAAACAGAAGTTGCTCTTAGGAGTTCCTGACATAGCCTAAAACCGCCTGGAAAATATTTGAAGGGTAATATAGGTGCTCGTGTCAAATGGATATAGCGTAAGTACTACCAAGAACAATTCATAGGAACAAACACGATTATAACAAATCACAGAATGACGAGAGACAGGCATGAAAATTCAGCAGTTTCATCTGGTCCAGGATGCTAATGACCGTTACATTTTCTCAGAAATATATTAGAAAACATAATAGCTAGACACTTTTTGATTAACTTATAGGCAGGCAGTTCCCAATTTATATAGATCTGTAAGGTTTTCTAAATATATGATCAGTTTGTACATTTATATGGAACTCTTCTTTCTCAAAAGTAGCTAGTGACAAAAATGTGGATAGCTGGGTGTGTTGGCACATGCCCGTCATCCCCGCACTCTGGAGGCTGAGGCAGGAGGCTGGCCCCGGGTTTGAGGCCAGCCTCGGATACAGAGTAAATTCAAGGCCTTGCTGAACTACATAGCAAGACCCTATCTCAAAAAACTTTATTTCTCACATGTAAAGCCTACTAAAATATATGCTTTCTTTTAATTATATTATTTCCGCTCAACTTAAATGTCTGGTATGATTGACTTACAAAAGTAAATGGGCTAAAATGCATGCAGAGACTGGTGGCAGCCACCTTTGCTTCTGCTGCACAGTGCTGCTGTGTGTGTAACCTAGACCGCTTCTGTGACACTGTGAGCGCCGTGTAAGTGCACAGTGCCTTTGCAGTGGGAAGCTCTCGCGGCTGACAGGGCTGGTGCCAATAAAAGTGATATAGCAACAGTGTTGAGCGAGTGTTCTTGGTACTCTTAATGCTTGAACCCGAGGCCACAATGACACCAGATCGGTGCGAGGTAGGGCTGTTCCTGAGCTTCAGAAATCTGTGCCAGGGTGTCACCGAGGAAGAGGTGGACACGGGGAACAACACAGAAGGCCTCAGCCAGGTACGCTGTTCTGGAGACAACTGTTGAAATCTGAGCGAGACCTGGAAGGTAATTATTACATTGATGTTGATTTCCAAGGGGCCGGGGAGATGACTCAGTGGAATAAGCCCTTCCCTGGCAAGCACAAAGGCCTGAGTTCAATCCCCGGTTCCTCCAAAAAAACAAAAAAAAAACCCAAAAAAAAAAACCCCAAATGATGTTGATTTCCAGGTTTTGATAATGGTACTTAAGAAAAATTTAGTCTTTATTTTAGGAACTACATACTAGAGTACTTAAGGATACTAGAAGATTATATATGCAGCTGAATCTCAAAAGAAAACAGTGTCATACAATGTATATTGGAAACAATAGAGCAAATGTAAAAGGTTAGTAACGTCCAGAGAATCTAGGCAAGAGTGTATGCAAATTCCTATTGTGCATATTTACCATAAATTTGAAATTACTCCAAATAAAAAACTTTTTAAAATGACTTCTGTGGGCTAGGAATATAGCTCAGTGGCACAGCACCTGCCTGGCAGGCATGGGGCCCTCAATTTGATTCCTGGTAACAAAAACAAAAACAAAAATGACTTTTATTGGATGCCTCTAGCTCATCTTGTGGTCAGAGAACATGTGTGTATGATATAGCGAGGCAAATTATTATAATCATTCTCTGCCATCTAAAAAATGGTAATGGTAGCCACTCTTCACATTTTTGTGAGTATAAATTAACATACTTAGCACTCAACCAGTGTGTGTGTGGTGTTGTTGCTGCCGCTGTTGTATGTGATATAGTAGTCTTGATTGTGAATCCCCAAAACAGTAGACCTGAACCTTGTCAATGTTACTTTACATGGAAAAGGGGTGTGTTGTAGTCAGGGTTTACAAGGAAAACAATGTAGTACAGGACACATAATTTATAGGGTTATTTTGTAGTAGTCACTGAAAAAGTGATACAGAAAAAGAGTACAGGAGATTTGTCCACACCCTGCTGACCCAAAGAATCCAGCTGAGGGCCTGGGTCCCATGGCAAGGTCCTGCACGTGCCCAGCTGGAGAACCGCAGCCCACAACAGTGTCCCCTGCAAGTCTTCATCGAGGACCTGCAGGCCCCAAGGTCAGCGGTGGAAGCTAGAATGTGCGCCAGCCAGGGAAGGATCTGTGCCAGCCGGCTGAGGGACCTGCGCTGGGGCCAGCAGGTGCTGCTCAAGGTGAAGGCCAGAGCTCCCCAAAAGGGCACCACAAAGCTAGCATGACAAACTTCTCCAGGAGAATCAGTACCACCCTCCCCTCCAGTTCTCCTTTTATGCTGTTGGCAACAATTCTCAGGTGGGCCCTCCACCACTCGGATTCAGTTCAGCTGGGTGTTACAGGTTGACCATTAGTTAATCCACCACAGGTCTTTTTCCAGGTGTGATTGAGTTAAGGCCCTTGAGATGGGAAGTATTTTTCTTGATACATTACTAAGGTCTGTAGTAGTTTATTACAGTAAACAAAAATAAAGACTTTCATAATGGTGTTTTCCACGTCTTTATTTCATGAATGGTGAAAACAATTTGGAACTAGAATATAACTCATGATAGGATACTTCAAATAGTTTATTAGGGGCTGAGTGCAATGCTCCAGGCCCTGCTTAATAAAGCATCCTGAACCATAAGGATGATTTTCCTAATTGAACAGTGCCTTTACCTCAGAGAAACAAATCCTTGGAGCAGATTCCCAGTACTTAGTTGTCTCAGGTCTTTACTCCAGTGGTTTTCCTGCCAAAGATGTGAGGTGTTATACAAGTATGTGCCCAGATGGCCAAATATTTATGAGTTACCTAAACCGGGGTGGGATGTTTAATCAGAAAGGTAGAGTGGTTACAATCGGAAGAAGAAAAGGCTCTAGCCATAGAAGCAGGAGTACTGTGGCCACAAGCCAGTACAGCCAGCAGCCATGAGAAATTAATGGAGGCAAGGGATAGGTTCTCTAGAAATTGTGTGAGATAAAGGACCTTGCCAAAAGTTAATTTTGGAATGTTATTGCTTGTGTCTCGACGCACACCCCCAGCCCTCGTGTGGTCATAACTGGGCTTCTCAGAGGTGGCTTGATCTAGTGCGTGTGATGCTGGGATCCAGGGTGTGCGGTTACTGGGTCGGTCCACTGACTGGCTTGGCATAGTTCTGCTGGGAATGAAGATGTGTCACCCTGCACTGCATGTCAATACTACCTGCCCTGCTGGGTGGCCTGGATGGAATAGAAGGGACAGAAAGAGGCTTGCCACTTGTCACTTGTTGCATGCTGCCTTTTGTCTGCCATGAACGGTTGTTCCTATGCAGTGCCCTTCTGCCAAGCTGCCCCACCTTGGAGTCAGCCAACATGAACTGAAACCTCTACCAACGCAGGTATAATAGAGTCCTTTCCTCCTTTAACTTTGAGTGTTGGCTATTTTGTCTCATCAATGAGAAAAGTTTAAGCATAGTAATAACATGTTGGACTTCTGGTCTACAGTGAATATGAATTATGAAAAAAATTACTGTCTTAAAACTACAAACTTTATCACAGTTTGTTACAGCACCCCAAGAAAGTAATACAAATGTGAAGTTTTATTACCCCCTGGGTTTGTGGGGGTTTTTTTGGTTTGTTTGTTTGTTTTTTTTTGCGGAACCAGGGATTGAACTCAGATCCTTGAGCTTGCCAGTCAGGCGCTTATCCTACTGAGCCATCTCCCCGGTCCCTAGCCCCTGGGTTTGTTGAAATTTGTCCATATAGGGTCAGTGTTGTGAAGTCTTCCACGTATGCTTAAGGTTCATTTTGCCATTGCTGTATTGATGGGTTCCTTAAATCAAGCTTGTTGTGTTCAAATCTTTCACTTTTCTCTGCCTGTCATACCAATAATTTAAAAGATGTTGTAAGTTTTTACTGTAATGATAGATTTATGTTTCTCTTGTTTATTTTGTGCATTTTATTGAATCAATATATCATCCTGGTGAATTACATCCTTTTTATTACATAGTGACTTTCTTAGAGTTGAGGGGTTTTGCCCTCAAGTCTGTTTTCTGTGATATCAACTATCTTTTTTTGGTTAACATGTAGTTGTATATAGTTTTCCAATTTGTTTACCTCTTATCTCTCCAGGTGTTTGTTCCAGCTTGGGCTCTCATAAGCCAAATAAGCCTGGCTATTTTACATAGTAATTTCTACTTCTGCAGACAAGTTCATTCCATGTATACTTATTATCCTTTCTGAAACATAATTCTTTTGTTGGTTTGTGGCACTTGTCTTTTGGGGTTTTTTGTTTGTTTGTTTGTTTGTTTTGGCGGAACCAGGGATTGAACTCAGGCCCTTGTGCTTGCCAGGCAAGTGCTTATTCTACTGAGCCATGTCCCTGGCCTCAAGCACTTGTTTCTCATGCTGCTTTTTTCTTCCTTTCTGGTGTGTTGATTCTTTGGCTTTTACATTTCTCCCTATGTACTAGTTTGAAAGTTTTGCCTAGTATTTTTCTTCTGTTTACTCCTGTGCTTTTTCAATGCATACTCAGTACAATCTAAAGTTACCTGGTATTATTTCCCCTTCATTAATGTAAGAGACTTTAGGACATCGTTATTCTAATCAATATGGTCCTGATTTTTGTGGTATTGTGGGTCGGCATTCTAGTTTGTTTTTTGAAAATGCATAAATTAGAAATTTTCATTATCATTTTGTACCTATACTGTTGTGTAAATCAGTTCCTTACAACACACTTTTCCTTCTTATAGCTCAGACTTTATTGTGCCGGACACGGTGTGATTTAGAATTGATAACATCTTACAGTTAATGAACTGTCTGATCATCATGTGGATTTCTGGCCTCTGCTGTCCAGAAGATGGAATTAATATGGTGTCCTTCTCTGAGGAGGACATCTCTGGCTTTTTTTACAGCACAGTTAGACTTAGTGTTCTTCAATTTCATGCCAGCTCATCTAAATATGGTCCCCTTCCTTTCTGCTGCTTGGGTTACAGTGTGCTTCCTATATCTATGAGTCATGTCTTCGTCATTACTGAAAAATTGTCAGACATTACCTCATTGTCTCTGAGACCCAGGCTATACATGCCGTGTCTTCGTTCCTCCTCCTCTCGTTCACGCTCTCCATGCTTGCGTCTCTGCCTGTTGATGCTCCATCTCTTCAAATCTGCATTCCAACTCTCCAGTTTCTTCCAATTCTCCAGTTTTTCCATGTTGTTTCTGCTATTAAATCTACTCAATGTGATTTTAATTTGTTATGTTTTTCATTTTAAGAGTTCTATCTGATTCTGTTAAACCTTGCTGATCAATCCTAATGGTTTCTTAATTCACTTTTTTAGAAATTAAGTATTCAAAGATCATGTAACTTTAACACACTGATATCTTACACTGTATATCTAGTGATTCCAGTCTTGTGAGTTCATGTAAGTCTACATTTACTGTTTATGTTCTGGTGCTTTTTACTTGAGGTGGTTCATTTCATTTTTATATTTATTATTATTGCTTTAAAATTGTATTTAGGGGC